AGAGGGCCACCACTTGCAAACTGGTTTGGGCCAAATGTGGGCGAGTCTGGTGATTCCCCGTCCGTGATGCCCCCTGAGGCAACTTTAAAGGATGTGAAAGATTCAGTGAGGAATATCAGGATAAAAACATCAGTACTGACCCAAACACACTATTAAAAGGTGTGGCAGGTCTCAGCTTTCTGAAAGGGAACTCCCAGTGCAGTGACAATTTTATGTTTGCACTAGAAGTCTCTGTGCCTTGGAAATTTATTGGGAGAAAAATTACCATCATTGATGTCCTAGAGATAAGATGATACATCTGCAGAAGCTAAGGATCCACACATCATATGCCCCATCCTATGCTCCAGTCTCCTGGACACAAGAGATTTTCCACCCTTCAGCTTTCTCAAGAAGCAGAATAAGGCTGGACCCAGGGAACACAGAGACAGCAGAGAAAAAAAGCCATCTCCAGCATAAGGGTTCAAAGCCACTTTGTTGCTGCTGGACCGCAATCCAGCTAAGTAGGATTACTTATGGAAAGGGGACTGATACTGTGTGTGTGACTTTGGTGAGGGTGGAAGGTGTCTCAAAGTAGCAGATGCTGCCCTGGTATGAAGAATCAAGGGCAGCAAAGGGCTCCTTTGTCCCTGTCTTTGAGCAAGGATTTGGAGTTGGCCACTGTGTGTTTATCACCAAAGGGCACTGCACCCTTATGTGAACCAGTTCTTCTGCCACATCTGATCCGACTTTGGGGACACTCTACTGAGCAGTAGTGGCAAAGACACAGACAATCACCCTGGAAATCCAACGGGTGTTCCAGCAGCAAGTGACTCCATGCTCCAGGAGTAGTCTCTATATGACTATTCATCTGTCTTAAGAAAACACTCCAGACCTCTGAATCCACTGACCACAGATCTCTTTGGCTTTTCCAGAAAGTTCTTCAGTTATACAAACAACATTTATCAGTCCACTGAGTGTTTTTTAAAACCAAGTCTTTCTATTTGTTATTCTTGGTTGTTTTTCCTTTTCTCTTTATCTACCCTGAGCAACGCTACCTTCTGGTCTGTTTTTCTTGCCTACAATTTTTAATCCATTTATAACTTGTAAAATAATATCTTTCATCATAAACTTCAGGGCAGAGTTTTCAAATAGTTTCCAAATTGTAGCCCCGAGACCTAGGGGCCACATTTCCTGACATTCTAATCAGTACACCAAAATACAGAAATTGTGAAATTGTAAAGCAGTGTCTGCATTTTTCACAAACTCTGATTATTTTCACCAAAAAAAAACCTGAAAAAAACCCACTGAGTTAAAGAAATTTTCTCAGCATGTTTTTAAAAGCTTGATAAAAGTTCTCAAGATAATCATTGCTGAACAGCAAATATTGTGTTACGTTACAGTACAGAAGTCTCCTCTCACCCACCTTTCCTATTTGAGCTCTTTGTGGGTCATTAACTGCCTGTGATGAATAGTTTCTTCCATTATCCAAACTACAGATCTGTCCTCACTAGACAATAGCCAGCTATGCTGGCAGATGACTACATTTTGGAGTAGATATTCTCTATTCTTACAGTTTTACCTAATGGAATTTTGTAGCATGTAGTAATCCAACTGCCAAAAAAAGATACAAGATGATGTAAGGAAAAATATTTAAATTTTTATAACAAGAAGCAGACTGCGTACTCCTCTTTCATCTTTTCCAATTCTTAAAGATTTTACACCCACACCACTATGAAAATATATGGGAAGTTAAGTGTCTTAAAAAGATTCAATAATCTAAATACCTCTCAGAATATTGTCTGGAATGTCTTATTCAGAACCAGCCAAAGTAACTAAAAATATTTGCATTGATTTCAGTAAAGTTTGGATCAAACTCTTCATATGTGACTGTTTTGCTTGTCTTAGTATAAAACAGACCTTAATATTGAACATGTTAAAGGAGTATCCTGCTTTTTCATCCTCCCTTCCTTCTCTTCAGCCTTACACATTCCACGGCTGTTTTCTGTGCTTCATTTGCTTGTGTTTCCCCTTTTCCCTTTGGCCCATGAGAAAGGCACAGATTCACCCCACTTCATTTTGGATACTTAACAGCGGCTCCCAAGTCTGGAACCTCATCATGCCAAAGAAGAGCTGGCTGTCTCTGGAGGACAACTCAGCAGATCTGAAGGCTGAAGTACCTCTCTGTCTCTCCTTTTGTGTGAACTAGAGAGGAGCCTATGGAAATGGGTTCCTCGCTTGGCCTCACAGTGCAGGACCTACAGCTGGGCAGGATAAATCTAAGTTCAGATGTGCAATCCCACCCAGGATCCACTGGGGACACTGGATAGACACTGACTTCAGTAAACTGCTCCCACCACAATTTTCCTGTAAAAAACACCCCTCTAAGAGCACGGCAGGGTCAGAACAGAGGACACAGTCATGCACGTCCAAGCCCCCGTCCCAACCTTGACAAACAAACAGCACTCCCTTTCTTTCTATTCTTTTTTCTCAACAGTGAATCTACACCTCGTTTTCCACAGGAAGGGCAGGAAGACAAAGCAGCTGGCAGGGATGCCAGCCCTGTCCCTCCCTTTCTTGTCCTCAGGGTAAAAAGCAGGACATAAAAGCAAATCTCTGTGGTTTCCCCTTATCATCTATTTGCTGAAGGAGTTAGCGTGCTCTTGGCTGTATTTTCAGGATGTGTCCCATTGTGATCGGCTCTGCACAAGGACAGCCTTTCTGTCGTTCTCCCCTGTGGTGGGCTCAGACCCAACTCCCCCCTCAACCCTCACCTCCCCTCCCAGACAGCCCAAGCTTGTCAGTGGGAAATGAATGGATTTGCTTTCCTCTCTAGTTTGTTCTTGCAAGGGAGAACAGCTGCTGCCCTCCCCATCCCCAGGGAGGTCTCCCCACTGCTCCTCTGACCAGAACATTTATAACTGGATGTGAAAGAGAAAACAAAAAAATGAAAATTCTGAGTATTTGACAATGACAAGCACTGAGACCGAGGCTTTTAGGAACTATTTTATCCACTAATTCATGCACAGAAATTATTGCCAGATTTGTAAAACTAGTATGATAGAGACACAACCTGGTTTTACCTACAGTGTATTTTATGGCTTTGAAAACAATATATTTTATTGTATTCCAGAGGTGTTCCTTGGGGAGGAACAAGGCTTCCACCATAACACGCAATTTTTGAGATTCATGAAGTAGTCTCCTAAGCTAAGTGACTGCATTGATCTTTCCTGATCTTTCCATCTGTCCCCATAGCCTCTTCTCTTCTGAGATGTCCTTGTGCAGAGCTCTGAATCCTATCTTTGTAGCTCAGAGTGTTACTAACTGAGAGGCAAGAAGAGTTTAGGGTTATCATCTACACCTCCTTTACAAATGGCCAACTTCAGGGCTTTTGGATAGAGGAAGGAGTCAGCCATCAGCGTTTTGTGGCAAGCAAAAGGGGAATACCAAACTCAAGT